TCCGATGGCTCTTTGAGGCGCGCGCGGTACGCTACGCGCCGTACGCTCGGGTCTGGTTCTGATCGGGCGGCAAGCTACCCTTGCTTGCCGTCCGCAGACCCGCGCTTACGGTGGCTGGAGATCATCTCGTGATCCCCAACGCCTGGTGCGTCCCCTGCGGCGGCTGGGGCGTGAGGAGGATCGTTCCCTCACGCGCTCCGCCTCCTCCTTCGCTAGCATGACTGCTTCGCAAAAGGAGGAGACTGCCTCCCAGTTCCTCTTGCTCCGCACCATGGCCTGAACTAAGGCCGGATTTGCTTCAGACTTGGGTTTACTATTTGTGATTTTCTTTTGCCTTATAGGGCACTTTCTAGAGATTGCGATATGATTGCCATTACAATTAATGCTCTTAGCTTTTTCAATGTTAACCTTGCATTCTTTGAAAGAATGCCCCTCTGTGCATATGGAGCATCGCGGTGAATTTTTACAAAACCTAGCCAGATGATCATAGCGTAAACATTTAAAACACTGTTTTATAGGTGGGACATATGTGGAGACAGGCAGGCGCCACATCTTAATGTGAACATAGTCCGGCAATAACGTAGCAGACGCAAAAGTAATTACTACGCTCTGAGTAGGTTGCAGTGTGAAGGTGTTATTTTCTCTTTTACTTTACTTATTATGACCTACTACCTGGTTACCGAGCTTTGCTTGGTATTTAGGAATTATTAGTATTTATTTTGTTTTAATTTCGATTAGAAGAAGAAGAAGAAGACAAAACAATATATATCAACATTTAATTTTTTAGTCCTACCTAAAAACAAACACTCTTTGACTTCCTGGTACTTAACAACGCCATTAGCTGTTGTATCGTTAAAGCAATTAGCAAAAAGTAGTATTACTATTCGCAAATAGACGTCAGGAAGACTCATATTTTAAACGACTCCTTTTTGTTCTTTTTTTAAATAAAATAACATTTTCAAAAACGATTTCCAGCTAGATCGATTAATTGCCCCGAAACCTTCTGTATACTTAATTTCATGAAAATCGTTGGAGCCGATTCCGATTACATACAAATATATATATGATTAAAGAATTGCTCATTTAAAGATATAAGATTACCTTTACCTATTACTGAGTGGGACATCATTAGTACTTTCGACAAATACTGTGAATTGAGACTTGGCTTCCGCATCTTCAGGATATCGGCGACAATAATCATCGACCCTAAATTGAGCGAAGGCATTTGCATCCTGCAATACTGACGAATCCTCGCAATCGGCATCGCTGCTTGTGCTGGAAAGCAAGGACTCACCGGCATCCTTTTTTTACGTTTTTTCACCATCTCTCCACCTAAACACATATATACAGACTAAGTATTACTTCTTTACAAATAACTAAACAAATATTTGCAAATTATAGTATAAAACTATTCAAAATAATTAAAATCAATCAAATGAACGAAAACATTTAAATATAAACATGAAAGAAATGAAACTAAAATATCAACTAGTTTTCTTAGAATAAGGCACTTCATACAACGTATTGTGCATGTTCCGTCATATATTTTTTTAATTATTGATGGATCGTTATGGTCTCCAAAACCTATGGATGTTTTATGCAGTGAACACTTCATTGGCTGTGAAAAATCAGATGTTGAATCAAGTCCTTAATTAGTCGCGATGTAATTAAATAACTTTGATTTAATTTTTCATGTCCTTCAACATCTCTTTTTACGAGGCGTCCAACCGGCCTTGGCGGGGCCGGAATGGATGTGTGAGACTCGACCTAGGCAGGCCCCTACAGCCCATCTCGGGCACACCTCGAGGGTGTGCTGGGCCGAGTCCACCGCAGCGCCGCACTCATGGCAGCTCTCTCCTGGCCGTCCGACATAAGTATAATAACCGAAGCACCCGTGCCCGGTGAAGACCTGCGTCAGACGTCAGAATAATGGCACGACGACAACAACAACGACAATAAACAACAAAAAAATCCATTTGCATCAAAACACTTATTGTATAAATTTTGTCTACCAAGCAATTCAATTTTTTTTTAGTATGTATTCGGGTGATCAAATATTATTGATTATCCTAGCAGGAAAAGGCGTGAATATTCACTATGAGAAGAATGAAAACCAGTTGTTTTTATAAAGGCCTGCTGGCTTGAGATTCCGTCAAATGGACTAAGGTCGAGTGCTTTGTTTTTTCTGTCACTTACGATTTTATTAAGCTAAATCTAAATCTTGTAATCATATATATTTGTTTGTAGTAAATACTACATACCAGGTTATCCATAGTTTTGGATATTGTTAATAAACCTGCCATCTATTAATTAATTTATGAACTTTGTATAAAACTTTAATACGAAATGACTTTGCCATTGTCCAATAGAGGGCGTTTGGATCAAATTACATTCCTTTTGTTTGTGTTTAATTTTTCTTATAAATAACCGAATATTTCAAAAAATATAGTACCTATTCATTACCTATTCATAACCCTGTATTACTGAAACTTACCTATAGTACCTATATATAGTACCTATTCATAAACCTGTATTACTGAAACTTTTAAGTTGAATAAATAATCATCTCAATAAGTATTTTTATTTCACTCGTTTCATAATGTTTAAAATGATTTCGTGTACACAAGTCAGTAATACAAAAAGTTATGTGACATTATATATTTTTTTAGAAGTGGTGGAATTACTGATCCTGATCGAGCATTTAACTAGCATTTTTTTTATTTTAACTAGTTAAAAGAAATTATTTTGAAATAATTTCCTTGGGGTTAAGAATATATGGAATATATGAAAATGAAAAGCAGAAAATATTAATTGAATACAGTTAATTGACCATGCACCCTCATAAGGTTATATTATAGTATACTGTTGATTTCAAAAGTTATCTTCTCCATTTTAAAATAAATATTCATAACTAAAAAGTTATTCTACTATTCGCCGTTTGCAAGACCCCAGTGCCTTCCAACGAGACAACTTACGGTGGCTCTTTTGAGAAAACAGTCCTGTAATGGATGTCAAATACCTAGTTATTGAAAATATAAAATCAACTTGAAAATATTTTTTTCAATGTGAAATGTGATATATTACACAGAGTGAATATAAAATTAAAAAAAAATCGTGGGTCAGATAAAAACAGTAAATAAAATAAATACAACAACTAAAACAAGTCTCAATAAGTGAATTAGGTTAAGATATCTGTCAAGATGTTATTGTAAAATTAATATAAAAATCATTATTAATATTAAAAAACAATTTTAAATAATAAAACATAACAAATAGCTCTATTTAACGTAATTATATTTTTTACGAATGTATCTTAAATTTTAATTTCTTTTATTTAATTTCGCAGATAAAAAATGGAATTGCTGTTAAGAACGGGTTTTCAATCCATCACACATAATATTCTTTTTCATACAAAGAATCTGATAAAGAGTAAATTTAGTTTCGGTTGAGGACGTGAGAGATGTATAGTAATAACAACTGATAGTAATAATAACCATCGTAGAAAGAGGTGTTAAGTATCTTGGTGGAGTGATAAATGTTCAAAAGTAGTAGAAGAATGCAAGAACGCATACATTAATTTTAAAACTAGTATTTATTATTAAAATTACATTATTTTCAAAGCGTACAAGCATTTAATTACTATTTAATATTTTTTTTAATTATAAGGCCGAAGCCATGAATATATTTAAAATATTTTTTTTTGTACTATTCTTTTTTTTTTTACATTCCGTCTTTTGTAAATGTCAAGTCATTGTTAGTTTGTAATGTCATTTATAGTATTTATGTCATTTGTCAATGTCAATTTGTCGCGCATAGCTCGCATAGAGCGCGGGATATTTTCAGCAGTTTTAAAAATATTTAAAAGTTGGTCTTCAAGGACCATCCTTTGAATACTTAACTGTGAACAAACAAAAAATATATCAGCACTATTGCAATATCTACAAGTTGAAGAGTCAAAAACATCAATCCTAAAAAGGTGAGCACCAAAACTGTAATGTCCTAGACGCAAACGACAGATTGTGGTATAATACTTTCTACGGCTACAGTCGATACCCCGGGTAAACCACGAGGAAGAGACCTTTTTATCTATTGTATCTAACCAGTTTTCTGTTACTTTTACCACCTGATGCTATAAGTTGTAATATTTTTCCTGTAACGTGAGTTTGAAATGAAATAGAGCGTCTGAAGAAGGAATTGCGAAAACTAAAAAGCTATGACTTAATTGATTGTGGGCCAGATTTGTAATAAATTTAGCTAAAATAGTCAATTGCTCATTACCATGCACACCAATGTGGGCTGGTGTCCAGACTAGAACTGTTTGCTTGTTTTGAGACAGCAGGTGAAACAAGTCTCTTATTTTAAATATAATATAGTTAGTTTTTGATTTTCATTGTGGATTTTGTAGTGCCGGTAATAAACTTAAACTGTCCATTATTATAATCCACTTTTGATGAGTCTGTGTTTGAGTATATGCTCGTGACTGATGTGATTCAGCCTATGACCAAATCCACTTTTGATCTATCATACACAGCTATAGTGACTGCTTCATTGTTCCTAGATCCATCTGTATACATCTGATAATATCCCTGTCACCTATTAAGTTCCCTATAAATGTCTTCCTTAAACTGTAGAAGATTTTTGGCTACAATTTTAATCTGAATAAATTTTGATTCATATAACCCAGAGTAACAAGGCCATACCATGCTAGAAAAAATATTCTGTCTTATTAAAAATTTGTTCTGTTTCAGAAAAACCTTGTAACAAATATGAATTAATATTGGCAGTCCTGTTAATAGTGTCCCACAGTTTAACAAGAAGTGGATGATTACTAATGGAGAGCAACATTGTAAAAAATTTTGATTGTAAGTATTTAAGATAAAGTGCTAATGGAGGTATATTACATTCCACCTGCATTGACACTATGAGAGTAGTTCACACGACACCCATTATAGTACGCAAACATTTCTTTTGTATCTTTTCTAATTTTTCCACTATAGTTCTTACCCCTGCAAAACAAAAAAAAGAATATCAAAATGACTCCTTACTAATGATTTATACAATGTTAATAAAATCCTTGGATCAGCACCCCAATATGTGCCTGTTGAAGATTTTAAAACATTACAGACGTTTTAAGCTCGAGATTCTAGAGTTTCAGCATACTTATTCCATCTAGAATTGTTTGTAAAAATAACACCTAAAAACTTTACAGAGCTCTCTTTAGACATTACATTATTATTGAACAAAATATTTACATTCCTATTTCTAATACCATTTTTGGAAAAGACAACAACTTTCCTTTTTTCATTGCTGACCTCCAGCCCAAGGCTATCAAAATAGTTCTTCAGTCTTTGGAGAGCAACATTGAGGACTGATTGTACACCTAAAAAAATTGTATCAGAGCAATAAACAACGAAATCATCTGCAAAGTGCAGATTAGAAACTTCACACCCCAGAGTAAAATTTAGCTTATGTATGAATAGGCAAAAAAGCAGTGAGCTCAATACACCACCTTGTGATACACCTCTACAAGAATATCTTGGACCAAATAATTGATTGTTAACCTTAACAAACAGTTTTCTGTAGTTCAAAAAATTAAAAATCTAATTTACAACTTTTCCAGGTACCAGTAATAATAAAATTGAGGTTAATTTGTTCAGATCTATATTATTGAAAGCCTCTATAATCTCAGGAAAAACTCCAACTAGTACTCTATTCTCGGAACGAGCATTGTGGATATCCAGACAAATGATGTAGACTCTCACATGCAGAATGGCCACAACAAAAGCCAAACTGATTGTAAGGTAAAAGATTGTTACTTTCTATGTGAAAAATTAATCTCTGTTTTATTAATTGTTTGAAATTTTTTCCAACACATGAACTAAGTGTAATGGGACGATAAGAATCAGCCAAATTGAAGTCTTAGCCAGGTTTTAATATTGGTACCAAACAGTCAGTTTTCCAATACTCTGGAATAATAGAAGACAACCATAGATTATTTAACAAACTTAAGAAAATAGATAGAGTTTGAACATTTAAAAGTTTAAACATTCTATAGGAAAGCCAATCCAGACCACATGAGGAATCTTATCTATCGTAGTTATATAAAAATGTTTGAACCTATATACTCTTTATTAACCTAATTGAGGTCAGAAAATAAATTTGATCTCGGAAAGCTGTTTTTTAATTTTCTTATTTTAGTCCAAATGCCACTTATTGATGTCAAACGATTTATTGAGGAGCAGAATTCAGACCAACTTTTACGACGTTCTTCTTTTAAAGTGCGTTTTTTAAAGGCTTGTGTGCTGTGAAATCAATGTTATTTTTACTATTAAGACTAGTTTTGAAATTAATGTATTGCATGCATTCTTGCAGTCTTCTACTACTTTTGAACATTTATCATTCCACCAAGGTACTTGACACCTCTTTCTACGACGGTTATTATTACTATCAGTTGTGTTATGGTTTAAGTTGGGCCTGGAAAATTCGATTGCCAATAGAATAATTGCGCAAAACTTTCTGTATGAGTCAAGCAGATCACTTTTGTCAACTTTAAAGTTCATTAACATTTTATTGGCAATTTGTTCATAACTATCCCAATTTACTAATTTCAGATTGCTGTGAAAAGGAATGTTGTTCAAGGAAATAGAGGATTCATGTTGGTCTCTTAGGAGAGTAAATTTTATGATAGTTGGCAGATGAGAACTCTTTAGTCCTGATGAACTTGCACGTCACAAGAAAGAAATATAGAAGAAGACGCCATAGTCAAATTTAGACTGTTTGGTTTCTAAATATGAGAGCCTATAGTTGTTGGGGGAGCATTATTTAAAAGTATTAAGTCATTGTCATCCATGGAATCCATTATAGTTCTGCCCCAAGAATCTATGCGACTACAACCCCAAAAAGTATGATGGGCGTTAAAATCGCCTGCAATTATCAACGGTTTTGGAATAATGTACAATAAACGACCGAACTTCGCCTTTTCAAAACCAGGAAAACTATTACCAGGACTGTAAAAACTAACCAAAGAACCAGTTTAATAACAATTACTACATTTTGTAATGAATCATCATAAAAAGTATATAGTTTAGAGAAATGTATACCATTTTTAATTAATATTGCTACTCCATTATGATCATTACTGCAGTCATGCCTAATAATGGTAAATTAAAATTAAATTGAATTGAATGCTAGGCTTGATTTCTGAAATAAGAGCAACATATTGTATATTATTTTGATATCATAAATGTTGAAACTCAAGTCTATTACTTAACATACTTTGACCTTTCCACTGTACAATATTTTAAGATTTGCTGTTTTTATCCTTGATGGTTTCTTTAATAGCTGAGCTAATAAATTGTGAACTAATACTGATATTTTGAGTTTTATTTACAGTTATAACTTTTACTATAGATTCTGTTAATAGAGTCATTGCTTCAAAGTTTGATAGTATCGCTTCAAATTTTTTTAAGGGAGGGAAAATTCAATGAATTTATAACGTGTCAGCATAATATGACTTGGGTTTACTGTTTGCGATTTTCTTTTGCCTTATAGGTCACAGGCTAGAGATGGCGATGTGATTGCCATTACAATTAATGCACTTAGCTTTTTCAATGTTAACCTTGCATTCTTTGAAAGGATGCCCCTCTGTGCATATGGAGCATCTCGGTGAATTTTTACAAAAGCTAGCCAGATGATCGTAGCGTAAACATTTAAAACTCTGTTTTATAGGTGGGACATATGTGGAGACAGGCAGGCGCCACATCTTAATGTGAACATAGTCCGGCAGTGACGTAGCAGACGCAAAAGTTATTCCTACGTTCTACCAAAACAATGTCGCGCTCTTCTAATGTGATGCCAATCTTACGCGCAATGAGGCCTACTACGTGCTGCAGATTCTCCCCATTCCGTTCAGTAATGCCTGAGATCTCAATGTCCTTCAATAGACATGACTTCTCGCGCTCGTTGAGGTCCGTCTTCAGGTTGGCAATGTCTTCCAATAAGTGACTCTCAGGCACGGACGGTGTTTTATTCTCAAGTTGAGACAGTCGCGCTTCGACATTGTCGACTCGCTTGCATACCTCGGATAACGTACCTTTCAATGATGCAAGCTCCTGACGGAACTAGGATACTTCCCGCGTCAAAGCGACCAGTTCGACCCGAAGGAGCTTGATATGTTCTAAAAGTGAACTAACGACTCCTGGATCTTCCGTGGCTGAAAGTAACGACGAGTGTTCGGTGTTGTTTGCCCCTTTTTGTTTTATGCAGTGAACACTTAATTGGCGGTGAAAAATCAGATGTTGAATCAAGTCCTTAATTAGTCGCGATGTAATTAAATAACTTTGATTTAATTTTTCATGTCCTTCAACATCTCTTTTTACGAGGCGTCCAACCGGCCTTGGTGGGGCCGGAATGGATGTGTGAGACTCGACCTAGGCAGGCCCCTACAGCCCATCTCGGGCACACCTCGAGGGTGTGCTGGGCCGAGTCCACCGCAGCGCCGCACTCATGGCAGCTCTCTCCTGGCCGTCCGACATAAGTATAATAACCGAAGCACCCGTGCCCGGTGAAGACCTGCGTCAGACGTCAGAATAATGGCACGACGACAACAACAACGACAATAAACCACAAAAAAATCCATTTGCATCAAAACACTTATTGTATAAATTTTGTCTACCAAGCAATTCAAGTTTTTTTTAGTATGTATTCGGGTGATCAAATATTATTGATTATCCTAGCAGGAAAAGGCATGAATATTCACTATGAGAAGAATAAAAACCAGTTGTTTTTATAAAGGCTTGCTGGCTTGAGATTCCGTCAAATGGACTAAGGTCGAGTGCTTTGTTTTTTCTGTCACTTACGATTTTATTAAGCTAACTCTAAATCTTGTAATCACATATATTTGTTTGTAGTAAATACTACATACCAGGTTATCAATAGTTTTGGATATTGTTAATAAACCTGCCATCTATTAATTAATTTATGAACTTTGTATGAAACTTCAATACGAAATGACTTTGCCATTGTCCAATAGAGGGCGTTTGGATCAAATTACATTCCTTTTTGTTTGTGTTAAATTCTTCTTATAAATAACAGAAAATTTCAAAAAATCATATTACCTATTATAGTTTCATAAACCTGTATTACTGAAACGTTTAAGTTGAATAAATAATCACCTCAATAAGTATTTTTATTTCACTCGTTTCATACATTTTTAAAATGATTTCGTGTGCACAAGTCAGTAATACAAAAATTTATGTGAAATTATATATTTTTTTAGAAGTGGTGCAATCACTGATCCTGATGGAGCATATATGAAAATAATATATGAAAATGAAAAGCAGAAAATATTAATTGAATACAGTTAATTGACCATCCACCCTCATAAGGCTATTTTATAGTATACTGTTGATTTCAAAAGTTATCTTCTCCATTTTAAAATAAATATTCATAACTAAAAAGTTATTCTGCTATTCGCCGTGTGCAAGACCCCAGTGCTATCTAACGAGACAACATACAGTGGCTCTTTTGAGAAAACAGTCCTGTAATGGATGTCAAATTTTTATTGAAAATATAAAATCAAATCAACTTTATAGGTTAAGATAGCTGTCAAGATGTTTATTGTAAAATTAATATAAAAATCATTATTAATATTAAAAAAGAATTTAAAATAATATAAGACATAACAAATAGCTCTATTTAACGTTATAATATTTTTTACGAATTTATCTTGATTTCTTTTATTTAATTTTGCAGATAAAAAATGGAATTTCTGTTAAGAACGGGTTTTCAATCCATCACACATAATATTATTTTTCAACCACAGACTCTGTTAAAGGGTAAATTTAGTTTCGGCGGAGGACGTGAGAGATGTATAGTAATAACAACTAATAGTTATAATAACCGTCGTAGAAAGAGGTGTCAAGTACCTTGGTGGAATGATTACTGTTCAAAAGTAGTAGAAGACTGCAAGAACGCATACATTAATATCAAAACTAGTCTCAATAGTAAAAATTACATTAATTTCAAAGCTCACAAGCCTTTAAATTACTTCTTAAATATTTTTTTAAATATAAGGCCGAGGCCATGTCATTATTTAAAATATTTTTTTTTGTACAACTCTTGTTTTTTTACATTCTGTCTTTTATCAAGTCTTTGTAAGTTTGTAATGTCATTTATAAAATATAGTACAATTCATTTGTCAATGTCAATTTAGTTTATTTTAGTCTACAAGGACCATCCTTTGAATACTTAACTGTGAACAATCGAAAAATATGTATATCAGCACTATTGCAATATCTACAAGTTGAAGAATCAAAAACACCAATCCTATAAAGGTGAGCACCAAAACTACCAGACGCAAACGTGAAACGACAGATTGTGGTATAATACTTTCTATGGCTATAGTCGCTTCCCCGGATAAACCCGGGGGAAGAGACTTTTTTTTCTTATGGCTAGCCATTTTCCTTTTACCTTTACCACCTGATGCCGTAAGTTGTATAATTCATTCTGTAACGTGAGTTTGAAATGGGATAGAGCGTCTGAAGAAGGAATTGGGAAATTTAAAATGCTATGACATAATTGATTGGGGCCCGGATTTGTAATAAATTTAGCTAAATAGTCTACTTGCTCATTACCGTGTACACCAATGTGGGCTGGTGTCCAGAATAGGACTATTTGCTTGTTTAGAGACAGCAGGTGATACAACTCTCTTCTTTTATATATAATATAGTTAGTTTTTGATTTTAATTGTGGATTTTGTAGTGCCGTTAATAAACTTAAACTGTCCATTATTATAATCCACTTTTGATGAGTCTGTGTTTGAGTATATGCGTGTGAGTGAGAGATTCAGCCTATGGCCGAATCCACTTTTGATCTGACTATCATAGACAGCTATAGAGACTGTTCCATTGTTCCTAGACCCATCTGTATACATCTGATAATATCCCAGCCACCTATCAAGTTCCCTATAAATGTCATCCTTATACTTTAGAAGAGTTTTAGGCTACAATTTTTATTTTTTAGGCTACAATTTTTTTACAATCTGAATAAATTTTGATTCATATAACCTTGAGTAACAAGGCCGTACCATGTTAGAAAAAATATTATGTCCTATTAAAAATTTGTTCTGTTTCAGGAAAACCTTGAAACAAATATGAATTAATATTGGCGGTCCTGTTAATAGTGTCGAGCAGTTTAACAAGAAGTTGATGATTACTAATAGAGAGCAACCTTGTTAAAAATTTTGATTGTAAGTATTTAAAACAAAGTGCTAATAGAAGTATATTACATTCCACTTGCATTGACGCTATGAGAGTAGTTTGTATTGCACCCATTATAATACACAAACATTTCTTTTGTTTCTTTTCTAATTTTTCCACTATAGTTCTTACCCCGGCAAAACAAAAAGAGCATATTCAAAATGACTCCTTACTAATGATTTATACAATGTTAATAGAATCCTTGGATCAGCACCCCAATATGTGCCTGTTAAAGATTTTAAAACGTTACAAGCATTTAAAGCTCGAGATTCTAGAGTTTCAGCGTACTTATTCCATCTAAAATTGTTTGTAAAAATAACACCTAAAAACTTTACAGAGCTCTCTACAGACATTACATTATTATTGAACAAAATATTTACATTCCTATCTCTAATTTCATTTTTTGAAAAGACAACAACTTTACTTTTTTCATTGCTGACCTCCAGCCCAAGGCTATCAAAATAGTCTTTGGAGAGCAACATTGAGGACTGATTGCACTCCTAAAAAAATTGTATCAGCAATAAACAACTAAATCATCTGCAGACTGCAGATTAGAAATTTCACACCCCTGAGTTGAATTTAGCTAATGTATGAATAGTAATAATGAATAGGATAAAAAGCAGTGAGCTCAATACACCACTTTGTGATACACCCCTTCAAGAATATCTTGGACCAAATAACTGATTGTTAACCTTAACAAACACTTTTCTTTAGTTCAAAAAATTAAAAATCCAATTTACAACTTTTCCAGGAATCGCAGTAGTAATAATACTGAGGATAATTTGTTCAGATCTACATTATTGAAAGCCCCTACAATGTCAAGAAAAACACCAACTAGTACTTTATTCTCGGAACGAGCATCGTGGATTTCCAGACAGAAATGACGTAGACTCTCACAAGCAGAACGTCCAAAACGAAAGCCAAACTGATTGTAAGGTAAAAGGTTATTTCTTTCTATGTGGAAAATTAATCTCTGTTTTATTAATTGTTCGAAAATTTTTCCAACACATGAACTCAGTGTAATAGGATGATAAGAATCAGCCAAATTAAAGTCCTTGCCAGGTTTTAGTATTGGTACCAAACAGTCAATTTTCCAATCCTCTGGGATAATAGAAGACAACCATAAAGTATTTAATAAATTTAAAAAAATAGAGTTTGAACATTTAAAAGTTTAAACATTCTGTAATGTTATTTATACTATTAAGACCAGTTTTAAAATTAATGTAAGCATTCTTGCAATCTTCTACTACTTTTGAACATTTATCATTCCACCAAGGTACTTGACACCTTTTTGTAGGACGGTTATTATTATTATTACTATCAGTTGTGTTATGGTTTAAGCTGGGCCCGGAAAATTCGATTGCCAATAGAATAATTGCACAAAACTTTCTGTATGAGTCAAGCGGATCACTTTTGTCAACTTTAAAGTTCATTAACATTTCATTAACAATTTGTTCATAACTATCCCAATTTACTAATTTCAGATTGCTGTGAAAAGGAATGTTGTTCAAGGAAATAGAGGGTTCACGTTGAACTTTTACGAGAGTAAATTTTGTGATAGTTGGCAGATGATAACTGCCTAAAGAGTCCTAATGAACTTGCCAGTCACAAGAAAGAAATAAAGAAGAAGACACCATAGTTAAATCTAGACTGTTTGGTTTCCAAATATGAGAGCCTATAGTTGTTGGTTGACGATTATTTAAAAGAATTAAGTCATGGTCATCCATGGAATCCATAATAGCTCTGCCCCGAGAATCTATGCGACTGCAACCCCAAAAAGTATGATGGGCGTTAAAATCGCCTGCAATTATCAACGGTTTTGGAATATTGTACAATAAACG